ATTATTATTTATTAAAACTGTAACTTTTTCAAGATAGTTACAGTGATATCTGCCAGAAATACAACAGAGTAGTCCTGTCAGTGCCTGTGGTCTCATTAAAAAAAATGCATTTGTGAAGAACCCAGGGCGTTCCCTGGACTCACAGTTGCTTACCATTGCTATGGAAGCCTCCATAGGTGATACTTGGCTCTTATGGGCGAGCTTCTTGAAACCTTCCTCCTGTAGAATGGCTTCTTAGTGGGCTGGTGAGAGAGGAGCAGCCCTTGTTTTTCTGGGCAACAACAGGGCAACAAATGTTACTTAAAAAAGAACAATAAAACTTGGGCCATGCAGAAGCCTTAAGTTTCTCCTAGTACATTAAATTTCTTTCTGTACCATAAATTTTCTTCTGTGTGCTCTGTGAGCCTCTCTTGGGTTGGGTTGTTAGCTAGGCAGTGCATGTGGCAGACTGCAGAAGGAAGGGGAGCTCATATTTTACGCAATCTGGAGTGATGCAAAGTCCTTCTCATTCCTTCTTGGCTAGCAGAGGTGATTTAGACAGAATTGTGGACTAAGTGACCTGTATACAAGAACTGAACCCTAGGGTTTCCTCCTATGGAAAATACATGTTACCACTGCATCCTGAACATTGGATTCCTGTTTTTTTGGTAGCAGTGCTTCGTGTGTTTTCTAAATGTTCCTGTAATACTAGCCCAGGAGATCTGTTAATCCCTGGGTGTAAGGACTCACAGGGCTGCCACGTAATGTGCTTGATAGTCTTTCCTGCTACTGTGTGAATACTGGTGGTATTTTTTTCTTTCCTTCAGTACTTCCAAAGCTCCCTTTTCCTTTTTTAGGATTTTGATGTTTGAAAGAAACAAAGCTAGTGGTCACAATGGGTCAGAGTGATTTTTGCAGATTGATGTTTCATGCTTCATAGCAGTGAAATGATGATCTGTGTAATTAAATTCCACTTAATGATATCTTCTCTTCTGGATTTGCAGAAATTCCCCAGGAGGTAACCCCGGAGGACTGGGAAGAACTGAAGCTATCCACCATTGAGCTTTCCATTGCAACTCGGAACAGGCAGCTTGATCTGACAGTAAGACCATAGTATAACTGGATTCCAAAAGCTGCCTGCTCACAGAGTTTTCCTTTCTTGCTCAACTCCCATTCTTATGTCTATATAAATAAAACTTACTACCCCATGCAAGGAGGGGCCCATGACTGAATCCAGGAATGGGCAAGTTTCAGAGCCAGTGTAAAAGCACTGGAGACCCATGTAAAACTGAGATGCAGTGGGATCAAGAACAATTTGTATAACAAGAAGGTTTCACTAGCCAAACAGAAGCTTTAGGATTGCCCAGGAGAAAACAAAGCTCAAAATAGGCACTCCTTTCCTTCTTTACCCATGGGAGAGTGATCCTATTTTATAAATTGGTGCTGGTAGGAGGCTGTGAGCCTGAATGTCTTCCTGGAATCGTAGCTTTTTCCTCTGTCTTTTGGCTTACAGAGCAAAGAGTTAAGAAGAACTGGGACAAGAGAAAGGACAGGGACTACACTGAATTAAAGGACAGGAAACGCAGGTGGTTGTGAAAGAGTGGAACCAAGGGAGCAAGGGAACTGTTCCTGTCATAACCTTCTCAAAATGCTCATGCTGTTCATTCACTGTTTTAAAACCTGTCTTCGGCTTATATCTGTGTTTTGGTGCAATTTTATTGCTGTGAAAGCTATTTGGATAGATGTTGGTCTTTAATTTTACTGGAAAATGCTAACACAGTGATCCTGTACTGGTGAGCTGCCCTTCATGTCTTCCTCATGACTGCAGGAAACCACTGCCACTGCACCCAGATTAACAGGAGGTGTTGAACTTATTGCAACGTGTTTCTTGCTCAGAATTCAGGTTCTTTAAGAACTTGAAAATTTGTGTTACATTGGTATGTTATCTTTGTAGAATCAGTCAAAAAAAAAAAAAAAAACAAACAGACAAATCTAGTCTTAAAATTTCCTCCTGTTTTCTCCTTAGAATGTACCACATAAGTTTTAGTTTCTTCCTCATCAGTGGCTTATGATTTGGACCACCAGTGTCCTAGTAATGGTAAAAGCTAGACAGAGACTACCAGGGTATTTGGTTTTTTAGTGGTTTCTAGATGGCCCTTGAACAAAACAGTTTTGGTTGCTCAATTGGATTAGAGTCAGTGATGTAAAGTAAAAACAGACCTACCAAGAACTGAAAAACTATCTCATTGCCACAGACTTATGCCTTCAAGATGCACTTTAATACTGGTATTGAACAAAGAAGTGATGTAGGGTTTTTGGGTCTCTTGCATCACCTAGAGAAATGGACGAGTTTATGTTAGGGCAGTTGTGCTTTTCTGTTTCTAGAGCTGGAAGTAGCTTGATACTGCATCTTTTTTTCTACAGATATGGACCCCTTACAACTGCTTTTAACTCCTGCTCTTGAAGCCATTGTCCCTGTAGCCATTGAAGCTGAACAACAGCTCTCTCAAATCGATACCAGGGCATATCTGCAGAGTACTATCAGCTACTCCTGTCTTTTTGTCTCACCTGAGATTCATGCCTAGACTGCCCTGATCAAGAGAAGCTGATAAAGCCATACAGGTGCAGCTCAGACAGTGCCAAGCCTACTTCTGCAGATACAGCAAAGGAATAAAACAAGTTATACTAATAGATGCATTTATTTTTACTTTTGTCATTTTGATTGCATCTGCACTAGGCCTTTTCCAGGACAGAAATCTTAAAATAAATAAATAAAATAAATAAATGAAAAATGAATTGCATCTTAATCAAAGTTGCTTTCCTGGCAAAAGCTTTACTGTATACTTGGTTTAATGGCAGGCTGTAAATAGAAAAGAAGCTAAGTAAGGAGTTTAAAGGAATTATATCAAGAACACTTTGACTTCCAATTTGTATTGTTTAAAATTCTTTTACTGTAGTGTTTGGTGGCCAAATGTTGCATCATTGTACTATTGCTTAAAGTCATGAAAGACCCATTGATTAGAAATATTCGTGAACAGAAGAAAACCGAAGTGATCTGCTATTACTGTCTTTAATAAGTGTGTGAAATGTAACAAGAAGCCAAACATGTGAATCATTATTTCACTTATTGTGGTATTTATTGTTGAATAGTCATCAATGAGAATTTACTATTTATAATTTATAATCAAAATCTCAAGTCGAGAGTGGAAAAAAGCATGAAATGCAGAAATGCGTCTTCTGCCTCCTTTTGTGGGACAAAGGACTGGGCATTTTGTGAACATATTGCAGTATCATGGGTGTGGCATTTTGGAGTGTTAACTCCTTCATTTCTGAATCTTTTTTTGCATAGCGCACTGAAGACTTCATGGATATTTGCATTGAAGCAGATAGTGTCAGCAAAGGACAGTTTGTAAACAGAGGGTGAGTATGGGAAGGCTGCAAAAAGATGACAGAATCTCTGTATGAGTCGGAATGCTGATTCTGACAAGTGTGCTGTTTTTCTCTGATCTTGTGCTGCAAAATTCAGAAGCAGAGGACTGCAAAGAAACACCAGTCAGTAGTGTTTCATGAGGATTAATGATTCTGTTCTTTAAAGTTCTTACTAATTTTCTCTTTCTGGAAATGAGGCAGAGCAGTCTACCTGGAGTTCTTCCTAGCTTCTGAGTTTGCTATACCTTGCATCTTTTTCCCCATTGCTATTGATCAGTGCTACTTGGATAATACTGTCATAATCGAGTTTTATAGACAGCCATACAGACTTATCCCCAGAATCTTTTATCCCTAGCTGCTCAGTGGATTGAGAGGCGGGTCACAGAGCTGATATGTTTGTACTAGTGGTACCTGGAATTTTTGAACTCTGTGATTAGACAGGACCTGCTTCTAAGTGAAGGGCTCCCTTGACTCAATAACTCTTGTGAGAAATTAGGTCTGAGCTGGAAGAACTTTTGGAAGATGAGAATTTAAACAGGGACTTTAAGAAAATGTATTGGTGCTGCTTGCACATGTAGTAAGAAGGCTGCAGGTATGAAGAAGCAACATGTAGAGAAAGAGTGAGCATGTATTGCTTCCTTTGTGCTTGGAATGTTGCCTTGTGCATTTGTTCCTCCTGCTCTCACCAGACACAAATCTGAGCTGCTTTTTCCAGCTCCTCCATACTAGCAAACACACTGGCCCACTAGCAAACACATTGCATCTTCCGAGCAGTTTTTACCGGCAACAGATTTTCCTTCTAAATCCAAGAGTGCTCTTCTGCATGTTACCTTTTTATTTGCGAATACTGTTTTCTAGTCTTAGAGCTCCCTCTAGTGAAATCAATGGAAAGAGTTCAACACATTTTTACCTGCTTGTCATCACCCTAATAATTCCTGCATGTATGTCTTGTTTATGATACTAATAGCAGCAGCAGGCCCCTTATTTGAGCATCCCACGAGCCTCAGTGGGTATAGGATCTTCTGATCTACGGATAGATGGTAGGTCAGGTTACCACCTGCAACTGCTTTTAAATTGCATGAGCCATGTGGACCATAGGTTGCTTGGGACTGAAATCTTTGCTTTGAAGGCTACGGAAGGAAAGAAGGAGGAGATTTTCCCATTAGCAGCGAGAAGAATCTGGCCTCTTAAAGGAGGGAGGCAAAGGAGATGCTATGCTTAGTTGTTGGACACTAACAGAAAAAATGTGGATGAATTTGTGTGATTTAAGGGAGGGGTATTCGAGTGTACACACACTGTAAAGAATGTCTCTCATGTGGACTGGACGAGCTTCACACAGTAGTATGTCGCATTTTCTGACTGCAATTACACTGTCATGCAGAAAAAGCCTCTGATGAGAGGTAACATGCCCTGCTGGCTAGAGCTAATTAGAGGCAGTACCACAAGTTTTGAGCTGCTGTTCAAGCAAAGTTCAAAGAAACAAGCTCTTTTGATTAAATAGTGCCCAAAAGTCTGTAGGTAACAAAGAAAGAGAAAGAGGGGTGTATGCGGTGGGGGAGCAGCGGGAGGGACTGGTTAGTCCTACAGAGAGGAGTCAGAACAGAAAAATGCCCTGTTTTTGCAAGGCAAAATCAGGGTGTTCAGAGAGGCTCTTCACCGCACAGTGCCCTTTGGCAGCTAGGTTTGAATCAAGCCCATTATTAGAGGCTCCCCATTGCCTAGCACCAACAGGGTTACTCGTTGGAAATGTGTGAAGAAGCTCTTTCTTTCTTCTTTTTTAATGCATAGTTTTAAACTCCACCAGAATTTGGGGGGTTGAAAAGGTTGAAAATACCTTATCAGTGCGGATATCAAGGTTTTTTTATATTGAAGAGGGCACTGACACGAGCTGATCAGAACTGATGGATCACACAGAGGAAACCACACATCCAGCAGGAAACTACCATGCAGGCTCAGGCAGCGTGTGGGGGGCATGTGTGTGTGGGTGCATCAGAGTGCTGGAGGGCAACTGCTGTTGGATTTCAAAGAAAGGAGTAGGTCATCCCAGGTGTATAAAAGTGCCCTCCGGCTGTGGGTCAGATTTGTGTGAAGAAGAGCACCTGCAGCAGGGGGAGAGCTGATGTTTAAGATAAGGTGGGGGAAGAACAGGTGGTTACACTGTAGTGCTTACTAAGAAGTGCTGGAGGGAGGGAGCGGAGATGGAGAGTGTAGCAGTAATCTGCGTCCTGATAGCCAGCTTAGATTCTGTATATGAAGGTACGGAGAGCTGTCACTCTGGGGCATGAATACAGTTACCAGCTACATTGCAGAAGACTTTTTTTAGTTAGAGAGTCTTACTCTGAGTTATTTCACATTGGCAGCTTCTGGAGATGAGAACTAGTTTAAAAATGTGTGTATTATCTTGCAGTAGGTGGTGTGGTTCTCTCTCTGCCTGTATTTTTGTAATTCAGAGTATGGAGTGGGATAAAACAATCAATTGGAACTGTTGCTGTTAGGCTTTGGTCTTGCTCCTGCTTCACGCTGCTGTCTTGATTTGAGTAAGGAGCAGAATCAAATGGAAATTATTTCTGATCCTTTTATACTGTGTCACTAGAGACGCAATCACTGCAAGGGGACTTGTGTCTGTTTGCTTCTACCAGCATTCTCCTTTGACTGATCTTTAGTTCTATGTCTTGTCTCTTTTGAGCTTCCCTTGACTCCATAATTGCATCTGTGTAGAGCCTCATTTACCTTCGTGGACCAAAAAATCTACTTGCTCACCTGAGTGCAATATCTAGGACCTTGTATGTTAAACTTCGAGCAGGTTAAACCTTAAGCAGAGAATCTTGCTGCTTTTTTGTACAGCACTGTATAAACTGACAGTATTGCATGCCATCAAGGATTTATAATTTGTATTGCATGGAGTATGTTTAATTCCTTCGTATTCACTCATTAATCTTTTAGTATATATATTTTTGATTAAAAACAAACTGTGCTGTATGTTCTAATATATTCAGTGAGCCTCAGAGCTGAAGCTGGTTGGAGGTTGTCAGTGCATACTGTTATATGTATTGATGGCAGCAGAAGAGATGTCTATTTTACTTTCTCACAGTCAAACTCACAAGTATTTGTATATACATATAACCTCTAAGTTTACCAAATGCATAGTGACTTACCAACCCACCATGACGTGTCATCCCTAAAGATGGTTATTTCCTAGAGAATCATCTCCTTACCTTACCTCTCTTTTTGTTTGACCAGAAGTCAAAAGATGCATGATCCACATACGTGCCCTGAAGGGAGTCAGTGCATCCAAGCCAGCAGATGCATCTTGCAGCTTCCAGAGGTGAGAAGCTGCGGGAGTCGGAAAATGCTGTCACTTTATTTCCTCATGCCGGTTCATGCTGCACTTTAAGAAATCACTACTACAAATCTGGGAGGTTGATTACGCTGCCAGTGAGACACACTGTTTTTCAGTGCGGCAACTCAGTCCTCGACTAGGAGACATGTACGGGAAAGTGCTTTCTAAACCAGAGGCAAAACTTTATTCTGCCAGTAAATGGTGACCTTTTATGTAGACAGCAGTGGTGGTTGTAAAGGGTCTCTTACTCAGGTGCATTGCATATGCATACCTTCTTCTCCTTAGTATTGAAGGCTGAAATCCTTGTCTACATTTTACCCTAGAAGGGATTGTGCTGTAGAGAAGATAACTATTAGAAGCTTTGTGGAGATCAAGGAGGGTGACACAAGGCAGTGGGGCTCAGATAACTACAGGGAGCTGTCTCGAAACTTTGAATAGATGAGGCTGAAAAAGAAGCCAAAACCGTGTCTGCCTGTGTAGTTTAGGTTAGTCTTTTGTTGCCTCTTAGAAAGAAGAGGCTGTTATTGCAGCCTTGGGGAGGACTGTTTCTTGGTTTTGCAAGGACATGAAGTCAATCTCATAGATAATTTCTATCTTCAATTGATCTATCATTCAGCAAAAGAATTTCATATTAAGAGAGAATAGAACATGCCCAAAGGGGAAAAAAATCTGTGGCTACGAAGTGAAAATCATGAATGATGGTGTCATTAGCCAGCATCCTAATACTTGTATCAAGCTCATATCATGGCAGTTTTGTGATTCTGAAAGAATATTCTGGAGTGCTGGCTAAGTACAGCTGAGCTATAAGTAAAGGTTGTGGTATTAAATGAGCTCTTCATGCTGCAGCTGCTGCGAAGACATTCAGAGTATGTGTGCATGGCACACAGCAGTGCTGTTCAATTCCTTGACCCTAGCTGTCATGAAGGAACTGGAGGCAGCTCGGATGAGTCTCACCAGCTTTGCAGAGAAGCGGGATATGTTGATCCAGGTGGACTGCTATACCTCTGACTTCCAGGACCTATGCTACTTTCTCTAATTTGTTGTGTACTAGTTCACTTGGAGCTAGTTTGAGTATCCATGTAACATAGCCCTACCTTGAGTCAAGTGCATGCAAAGCAGTCACCAAATTTGTTTAGGTAAGCTCAACCTCCCATTTTGATGAACGGTTTTAATCATTGGTGACTTTATCAGCGTTAAAGAAAACGCTCAAGAAAATTCTACTGCTGAGTCATCCTGACCCGTGAATTACTTTGCATCTCACGTTTCAGATCAATATAGTAAAACAATACCAAAAGTTGTTTGTAACATGGATTTAATAGGAGTTATTTAACAGGCACTTCTGCAGATTAGCTTGTGTCACCACTGGCAGACCAAGATCTAAGTGCATGTAATTGTAGTTCCAATAGCAAAGAATCCTTCAGTATAAACAATGTGGGTCATTAAAGCTCCCTAGCATTTAATTATCACCAATTAGCAACTAAGTGAGGTAACATCTTATGCAACAGACTCTTAATATATTATGTGCGGTGAAGGATAGCTCTCACTGTGTTGTTGAGACCAAACTGGCTGGAAGGCATAGGGAGGGGCCCATCTTGGTTAAGACTCAGCTAAGTATTCAACTGTAGTCTATTAGTAAAATCAGGTACCAGTATTACAGCATTGCTGAAATAATCTGTTTGATGTTTAACCCTGATCAGCACTGTTGTCTGTACACAGGGCACTGAGGGATCCTTTGGCATTGATAATGAGGAGTATGAAGCTATGCCTGTGGAGGTGAAGCTATTACCGCGGAAACTCCGGTTCTTCTGTGATCCCAGAATGAGAGAGCAGATGCTCCATGCAGCAGTACAATGAGAATTCACGTCAAAAGGGGCCAGTGTTTACCAGTCTTATCAGGGACTCTCCAAGGCACATGAGACCTCACTGACTTGATTAGCCCCACCAGACTAATAAGCCATTTGGCTATTTTTATGCACAAGGTACTTCCATTGGAAGCTGATTTGGCTAGTCTCAAAGGGGTTAAAAATGCAAATGAAAATTCTAAGAAATGCATGTTAACTTGATGGCATCTTTTTTTCCCCTGAAGAAGTCATCAGTGTTCCATTTAGAGCACTGCAGGCTGAGTGCTGTGTGCCAGATGCTACTGCTTTAATGCAATTGTATATTAAAGTAAAATGAAAGCACACCTGTCCTTGTGTTTTAAGAGTTTAGGTCTACTTTACCTATGTATAGATCTCGCAAAATCTGGGATGTTGGAAAAATATATTTTTGGGGGGTAATGCAAAGGAGGTCTATGAAGTGTTGGAATTGCCACATTAAAACAGGTGGTTGGTTATCTACTCTGTCACAAAATAACTTGGAGATTGGTGATACAAAGCTTCAGAGGAAGTTTTAAAATTCCCCATATGTATCTGAGTAAGATATTTATGTTATTTTTTTTCATCTTGCCAGATTCAACAGCACAGAGTTCCAGTTAATAATATAGTAGAAATATATTCCTTTGATCAAGTTTAGGTATATTATACAGAAGCAGATTGGAAAATGTCATCATTGACCCAAAGCTGTATGAAGTACATGTGGAAAGACTCTTTAACAAGCCAAATGAGTCTTTGTAAGTATTCCTTTTATTCCTGTAGTAGTATAACACAAATAAGGGCATCCAAAGACCTTTTTATTCATTGTGTCTGGTTGTTTTCTCTTTAATGTAAACAGTGCTCATCACTCCTTATGCAACCTACATTCCCTGGAGCCCCAGTACTGTAATTAGTTTTGTTGCTTTTCTGAGCTTTTGTTTATAGCTTCACTTTAATTGCTGAAAGGGAGTATTATTGACTTAGACAAGGTTATGTGTTGCCCTTCTTATTATAACTTACAAGTTCACATGATTCTGCCTTGCTTACTGGAAGAAGAAAATTTGATCCTTATTTTTCTGATGTGATTGTTGTTTGTATTATGCTGTGATCTAGTCTAAGTTCATCTTTGATTGATTCTTTGCTGTAATCAAAATAAGGACATTAGTGAATTGACTTCCAGCAGCTTTATTAAAGACTGCATCCTGGCTGCATGCTGCTGCAACAGCATCCTCTGCTGGAGACTTGCTAAAGGAAAAATGCTTTGAAAGGGGAAGTAGGGTTGGTTTTCTGGGTGATGCCAGAACCAAACTGAATGCTGTCCTTCCCTTGACAGGAAGTGTGGAGAAACTAATTACCTAAGCTACTGAGGCAAGCACTTATCCCTTTCTTGACTAAGATCTAGGGGAATAGAAGCCTGCTAGTTCTTTTTAATAGTTATGCTGGTGATAGGGCCTGTGTTGTGCTGTCTTTCTTCTGATCTACAGCAATTAATAGTGCCCAGTGGAACCCTGCAATACTCTCCAAGGAACATGTTGGCTGTGCTCTGCTCTTTTTGCTTGCCACAGAGGCACCCGGAATGTTGCTCTGCAGCCACTGGCTCATTCCGAGTCAGGGGCAGTTCTCAGCAATTGAGTTTTTCATCAAGCTGATGCTTCTGTAATAAAATTAGCAATGCTTTTGCTCAAGTGGCAGGAAAGACAAGGCAGCAGCCATTTCAAAAAGGTAAGCTTTAATTGTATTAAAAAAATACCCATGTTTTAGTAAGCAGTTTCTCTAAACAGCCACAGGCCTATGGGAGCAACCATACATCTGCAAGATGCAAACAACATCAGAGCTGTTAGAACTACAACCAGCCTGCTGCAAGGGGTGAGATGATAAGAGCTAGCTTCTGGTTCATCTGTACCATTTTACAGGGAAAGTGACTAATTCTCTTCCATAGTATCAGACGCACAGCTCCCATTGCAATGTGATTCCTTGCTTGAGGGTAACCAAGAGCTCCCTTCAGAATTGGTATTGTTAATGCTGCTCTGATGTTAAAGTACCAGGGATCGTCTGAGACACCGGCTGATATTTAAATATTCATATCAGCATAAGTTGAGTAGCTTCTATAAATACAATTCAAGTCATTTTTCCCCTTCCTCTACAATTCAGAGGTCTTCCAGTATGGAGTGGTTCTGGACCTCTGAATTGCAACATTCAGAGGGGAGGTGCGAGGAGAACATTACATAAAATAAGCAGGGGCTGAACCCGCTATCTACAGTGTTGAGGAAAGGACTCAGTTCTCATGTTTCTGTCTGACAGCAAGACAAACAACTTTCTTTGTATGAACTCTTAAGACAGGATGCAGTAGTAGAATCCTAGGTCCCGCTCATGGAAACACTTACCCTGGCTTCAATTTACAGTCCATTCTAGAAGGGCTTAAAATACTGTAACATAAATAAAAAGGAAGGATAACAACCTAATGATGGACCAGCCCAAGGCACCTGTTTATTTTAACCATGATTAAACATTCCCATTCGAATGGCATGTTGCATTAACCAGGACCTGAAATCCTGGTTCATAGGCATTTAGTACTCTCTGTTTTAGACAGACATATCATTCTGTTAAGTCAGTACATTCCAGTCCCTCACAAAAGACGTATGTGTTGTCTTCTCCCATAATCACTAGACCGCTAGCTTTTGGGGGGGGCGGCGCAGAAAGGAGACAGCAACTAACTTAGAAGTAAAATAGCTATGATGAGAGAATTTGGGTTAGTATGCATGTTTTGTACCTAGACTTTTGCATTAGGACAGAGTGCTCTTGCCCTTCCCCCTCCCAGAGCAAAGCATGCCTGTCCCTTGCAGTCTGTCACCAAGAGGGCCACAGCTACTCCTAGCTTTTGCCCATTAACTTTGGCAGTTCTTAAAATGGAAGAAGTATTACAGTAGCACTGCTTTACAGAATAAGGTGTACAGTAAGCTACTTCCCCTTGAAAAGGTGATGGAACTTTCTTCTGCCCTTAAGGATGCTGGATGGGTGAGCTCATCTCCTGTGACAGGCATGACCATTAGCTCTAACATACATTGGAGTAACTACTTCATATATGCTAGGTATTAGCATGTCTCTAAGACAAATCTGAACTCTAATTCAGTAAAATGCCTTTCTCCTAGTATCCATTATACTAGTACAACAATTCTTAGTTGTACTTGGCTCTATGCAGCTTGGCCTAACCTTGCAGTGAGAAGACTTTTGGATAATTTAAATGTCTGGCATGATATCCCTTGCTCAGATTGAAAGCCTAGCTTTTATTTCTCTCCCAAGCTTTACCCTCCAATCCAGATAGTACAAGTAGTAATAATTCATTACTAGATTATACATTTCTAGTGCAACTTGAGTTAAGATGCAACTATGATGCTCTTGCTCTCCTGTTTAAACTCAAGCAAGTAACAACTGAGAACCTGCAATAGCTGTGCTATGACTTGGGTGTTAGAGAAGACCACACCATACCAGACCAGGGCACAGGATATATACATGGTTACTGTAACCACCATTCAACCTGGGCTCTGATCACAGGCAACTGACCAGAGAGACACCGCCAAAGAAATTAAAGGCACCACTGTAAAGGCAAAGTACTTCAAATGGAGAAGATAATTTTTGCAGTAATCAGCAATATCCTACCCTATGCCACGCTTTCCTCCTTCTTTTAATTCAAAATACACCAAGTAACTGTCTCCCTTCAAGCTGCTAGTATTCAAAAAAGCAACTACTATGTACCAAGGAGGGGATTTTAAATGTATGCACTTAACTGTTTTACCTTGAATTATGTTATCTCCTGGAAAGAGGAGATTCAGTGAAGTTGGTTCCAAACAAAAACAGCCTACTGAACAAGCCCTCATGTCCCAAGCTGTAGCCATTTGTTTATATTATGTACCCATTTATCAAGGATTTTCCACATGTGACAACAATAAAAGCAATGCCTATTAGAAAATGGGAGCACAGGTGGAAAGCTCTTTTGCAGCAAATCAAACAAGGAAGGGGTAGGATAGAGAAGTCTTTTTGTTCTGTTTTCTGTCTTTTGTAGCAGTCACCTGCCAAGTGAGGCTGTAGAGAAGCAAAATAACAAGGAAGAGCAAAATAGGCTGTAGCCATCCAGCTGGGATGTAGCATGGATGCTACTTTTACAGTAATCTGCTTGCTTTGATACTTCTGCACCCAGACTACTGCTAGCAACTGAAGACCTAGTTTCTGGAAAGCAGAGGTTTAATAAATGTCAAACAGTAATTTCAGGAGGTTCTGCTTGGTGGGCTCTAGCAGTGCTGTCTAGTAGACCTGATATTCTGACAGCTTGCGAACATAGCGCTCTAATGCAGGGTGTTAGAAAGCCTCTGACTGCAGAGGCTGTAAAATTTCAACGACAAATTAAAGGTTTGTTTCTATTTACTTCAGCAAAAGAACTACTGGCATCAAAGAGAATAGAAAGTCATTAAGAGCTGACCACAGCTAAACGATGTAGCAAACCTTTGAGAAAGTGAGAGGAAGAATTGCTAGAGACTAATTTCAGTTCCTTTTTTTATATCTGAAGGAAGTTAAGTAAGTGACAGCAATATAGTGCCAACTGTACTTCCTCAGGGATCTTCACTGCAGACAGCACGTTAAAACTAAAGTGGAAGTTAGAAAAAAGCATGAAGCTTGTGGGTCACTTTTATATTAGACGTGTCAATTTAAAAACAAAGCCTTTTCTTAAGCAAAAGAGACTGGTCTTCCCATTAAATGATATTCAGCTCTGTTTTTAACTCTTTCTCCATTTTTTCCCCCAACATTCTAAGGGTGTTTATGTTACAGTTGTGAGCAACTGGGAATACAAGCAGCAGCATGTTTTCTCCTGTACAAAAACATCCAAAGCCCTGAAAAAGCAGGCAGGGTGGCGACTGCTCGGAGACAGGCAGGTCACAGGAACATAATATGCTGAAGCTCATACCAATGAACTGTGCAATAAGCCTTGTGAGGCCCCTGATCCCACACCTCACTAAAACCTCTGAATCCACAGCAAGCAAAACTACCCCTTTGCTGCAGATAACCTTCAAGGAAAAACAGGACATGCCAGCCTCCTTCCTTCCAGAGGGAGACAATCCACAGAGGGTCTACTTGGAGAACATTTGCTTCACCTGTTTTAAAAAGAATTAGCGGGGGAGACAGTGGTGGTGCAGGCTCTGTCTCATCCTATAAAATGCTAGGATAAATGGATACATCAGCTACAGTTTGCATTTCTACAAACTGCAGAAAGGCTCCAAGGGTGCTGAAGTCTATTATGGTAGAAGCAGCAGCTAATTAGCTATAGCTACAGTTCAGGAAGAACAGTTAGCTTAAAGCTGATGCTACTACTGGCTAAAGGATTTTGGGCAAAGCAATATGTCACACCTAGAACCCACA